AGGTCTAAGGTGTGGACGCATTCCTTGTCATGCACACACACTGCCTTGCACAGCTCCGACACAGACTAGTAGGTCTACCCAGAGCCTTGGGTGGTGTCTCCTCCCTCCTAAAATCCAGCTCCAAGAGTTGAGCCATTCTTTGCCCTCGTGCCTAGCAAGCAGAGCCCCAGGTGGATGCCAGCCAGCAGAGAGTTGTGCTAGATAACACGTCGTGGCAGGCAGGATTCCTCCATCCCTTGGCAAAATCGAGCCAGACCTCACGTACTACAACTATAAACAATGCAATAAGTAACACCTTGAATAAAAGGAACTAAGACCACAGTGCTTAATTCACAATGATCTGCATTGTCACCCATGCTGCTCAGATGGAGAACATTAAACAGCTTGTACGTGTGCACACAATTGCACAACACATGGCTCGGACAGAAATGGGGTTGCATGCGTTTTCTGAGAAGTCTTAACCTTTAAAAAAATCACCTTAATCTTGTTTAAGAAGTTATGAGAAGTTCTTGAGAAATATAGAGAGGTCCTGTACCTTCAGTTAACTACCTGCAGTCTGCATTAGTTTGCTACTGTATACACTACATTACATTGGTGCAGGAGAATTAAGCAAAATGCAGTTAACAATGAGGGATACAAAAGGAAGATGAAGTAACCATTTTTTTGTCCTATGTTTTGAATAAAAGGGAAGGAAAGAAGGAAGCAACATAATTATAACGTACCATATATGTCTATGTTCTTCTCCAAGGCAAAACTGGTGACAGAGATGAAAAAGTTTGTAATGAGGTTTCATTAGTCAGAATCAGATGACAGTCTGTGATCCAATTAGAGCCACAGGAAAAAAACTCTGCTGGTGCTTACTAAGTTAGTTTCAATCACAGTTTAGGTGGAAACATTTTACTTTATATTAAACCCTGGCAATACAAACATAGCCAAATGCTGCACATAAGCTGAGGAGCCGGTAACTAATAGCTAGAAGAGAAGTAACTTTTCCAAACACTCTGAATAGGTCTAAATCAGCCATCTGATTATACCCTTTCAACAGAAACCCGGAAAATAAGGACGAAACATTGTAGACTGGTAGCTGAGGAAGGAAAAGAAGGATAATTCACTTTGGGAATGTGTGAGACAACAGAGTCAAGCACAAGAAAAAGATTTATGTAAAGAGTAGGTTTTAAAGAGGAACTGTAGAGCTGATCCAAGGGCCCTGGAAGGCAATAGAAGGTTTTCTGTTGACTTCAATGGCTTTTGGATCAGCTCTGGAAATGGAGGGGAAGGGCCTGGGGCTGGCACAGAGAGGCAGGCTGTGGGGAGACTGGAATGCAGCTGTGAATACACGGAGGAAGCAAAGCGGAGCGTAGGGCTGGAACACAGATGCAAAAGCCACGGGGTTTTGTTTATATGTCAGAGAAAAATAACCTGCAGGCTGGCTTGGGTTGAAGCTTGGGGAAAAGAAAATGGAGGAAGGCGAAAGGCAGGTTACTATCTGAGCTGAACCAAGAGACCCATGGTCGGTCTGGTGGCAGCTGTGTGTGAAATACCACATTCTTTGCCTGAACATGCTCCCAGGAGGAACGGGTAGGACACTGTGCTAAGAGGCTGAGCTGTTTGCTGAAGCTGTCCCAGGGTTAGGTGGGGGGAAGCAGAAGGGAACAAACGGAGATACATGGAAGAACAAAATTATCTCAGTCAACCACTTATCTCTGTCTGTAGTAGTTATATGGTTGTCCTTACTGGTGTGGCTGAACCTATATCTATTGCAGTGCAGGGGAAACAGATATCTACATTGTTTATACACTCCTGAAAATTCCTGTTAGCTGTGTTAACACCTTTGCAAACCTGGTTCAAAGTGAACTTTAGGACAAGGCGGAAGCAGAGAAGCGATTCGACCCCTGTTTTTTCCAGAGCTCAGTCTAGTGCCCCAGCATAAAACCATCATTTTACTTTTAATACTCAATTTAATCTCACATGAGCACGATTTGTGCAGACTCTCAGTATAGGGATGAATTTGAACCTTTTCTGCTTCCTTCGTTTAATTAAGCAGATAGCACTTGAGTTAAAAATACCAATATTCTAGTTACTAAATGTTGAGACAAATTTGTCAGCCGATTATTGTCCCCCATGAATATGAAAACTGCTCACTTAGACATTGCACAATTGTTAAGGGGTTTCAAAAAGTCGGAAGCAGATTTCCTGTCAGCTGAGACCTCGCAGATACCTCTTTGACCACCTCCGGGGGAAGAAGCTACAATCAGACTATTACGGAATCGCTGAAGCAAGAGCAGAAACATCAAATGCTTCTCAATTCACAAAAGGAAATTACAACCAATTCTCTTTCAAGTCTACCCAAGACCTTCACCACATCACATTCCCTTCTTAATGCCAGCTCTTTGTTGGGATGTTGTGTCTATTCATAAAGTAACCCTCCTTTATATACTGTTCGAAAGCACAGCTTATTAAGAACATTAGTTTAGGAGATTGGTGGGGTCAGTACATGGTTTTCAAGTGCGTCACGCAGAGAGAATGAGCTGAGATAAATGCTTGGATAGCAGCCACTCATTTTCAAAACCAGTTGTTCACAGTTATTTTTCTTAATTATTTTTGTAAGGCAAAAATGTGGTCCAAGAACGCGCTGCTTATTTCCATTCTATCTTTCAGACTAAGCTTTATCTTTACAGAACTAAAAAGACACCGACAGAAATTAAATTGCACAGCTCCTCTCTCAGATGCTTGCTGTGATCAAAATGAATACCTTGGCAGGAGTATGTCCAAATCCTTCACAACGATGCTTCATGAATTCTTTGCCTGAAGCGCTCTTTCATAACCTGGGATGGTGACACGGTTTGATGTGGTATGTGACTTCTCTTACACAAATTAAGCTCACTCTGTCTCCAAGCTTCAGTGTCCCAAAGAAGTTGCTACCAAAAAGCATTCCTGTCCCAGGAGTGTCAGGTTGCAGCCGTGTCCTGGGAAGGCTCAGCTCCCAAGGCACTCGGAGGAGATAGAAGGTCCATCTAGATCGGTGTCCTTTGTCAGAGCACAGTGCTAGATAAAATTCGGGTTGTTATAACAGCAGGTGGAAGACTAATATCAGCCTGAGTTACGATAGTGTTGCTGCAGCTCACCACAGCTCCTGGGTTCCAGCCCTACAGCGGAGAAGAGATCTGAGGGTAGTTACGAGGACTGTGGCAGACAGATGCCCTTTTCCTCTCTCAGGCCCCCTTCCTACCTAAATCCTGCTCCAGGGGCTCTCAAGCACTTGCAGAGACTGCTCAAACCCAACATTACTCATGAAGAACAGTGTTTGCACTAGCACATCTCGGAGTAGGCTTGGAGGCCAGACAATGTGTCTGGTCTGCATTTACTCCTGTGGAGGAGTATATTCTACACTTCCATATCCCCTGTGAAAATGTTGTGCCGCTGCCAAAGCAGAGCATACCCTTCAACAGACCAGAATAAATGATCCATAACACAAATGCTGAAGGAAGACCCAAGTGCTAAACGGCCAGAAAAGTTGCACAAAGGGTTTGTATGGACACCCAGCCCAGCATCGGAGTGACTGAAGCCAAAGTAACGTGCCTGGGGTGCAACACTGGCACAGGGGGTGACAGAAGTTATTCTGCACTCAGCCTCCATTTCCTATACCCCTGCAAACTGATGTGAAGCTCTCCTGCTTCGGTTCAGCAGCACTTTACATCCATTTTAAAATCACTTTGCCTCACTGTAAATGGCCAAGCAAAATAAAGACGCACAGATGATCAGGCTCTTGTCTTAGAATCAAGTTTTACTATTAAACTGCCAGTTCTATACCCAAGCTGATTATTGCAATCAGCACGGCACATACATTGTTATTAATTAGAACCATTCTATCCTTCAAGAAAGCTCAAAGCCCATTTGTTGGTAGTTCCCAATCTGTCTCAGAATGTCCGGAGATTTAGCAAAGTCTAAGAGGAGAGTTTGCATTTACAACTTCAGATTTCAAGGTTCAAAAAATCAGAACTTTTCAACACACACTTGAGACAGAAATAGTTATCCAATAGCAATTATATTAGAAGTGTGAACTTCTGTTAGTTGTGGCAGTAAAAATATTGATGTAGATTTACATATATTTAATTATTTATGAATTAATGTTATAAATTAAAATATATAATACTATGTAATGGGTATTGCTAATATAAATTTATATTCATATAGTGAGGTACAGAGCACGATCCATTCTAGTTCTATGTACTCTGTAATACCTATTCTAACATATGAAAATTTAAACTCCTATAAAGTGATTCTATATTGCTAGCTGTGGCCCTAAGAAGCACATAGTACTATTTTATTACAACTGGCTAAGTCAATGTGATGGGTTTCTAGCAGAGATTTTTAGATTATTATTTGAGAGATCTCACCTTGTTTGCTCACTTGTCTGCATCCCATTTTATCCAGACATTATCACATGAAACTCAAGCAAACATTACTAATATAGATAGAAGGGGCAGAAAAGGACCTACTCAGTGTTGATACTATAGATATGATTCACAGATACAGAATTACATGTACCTTTACTGGTGCTCTAAGCCCTTCCCTTCCGTTGAGATTAAATGGTAAGCAGCAAGAGCTGAAACACATCTTTAACACCAGCCCTGAGTACCTGTTTTACCCTAAACCTCTTGAAAACTTTCCCATTCCTTGAGCCACCAGTGGTACCCACTGCTTCTACTGTAGCTTTAAACCAGCCAGACTATAAAAAGACAAGATTAGGATCACTCCAATCTCCCTATTTACTTATTTATTTATTCATTTATTTATATTTTTCCTGATGAACAGTTCTAGGGAACCTATTTCAAAGAAGTAATCAATACATCACAATTCGTGTGACATTAACTAACCAGCAGGAACTTCCGCTTGCTGTAACACTCTGTGACTTGAAAGTTGTGCAACACCTTTAGTAAACACTTCCTCATATAGGAGCAAGAATAAAGCTGAACAACTCACTCCATCTTATTCACTGCACAAGAGAGGACTGCTCAAAGCAGAGACAGCCTGGGACCCAGCTTTCCCAGACCACGGAGACCACTGCTAGACAAGTGCAACTGAGATGACTCACATACTTCTTGTTTCTATTGTTTTGCTACATTTTCTCCAACAAGGTATGGCTTTTTTTTTTTTTTTTTTTAATCCTTTATCAGTGGTTGCTATGGATAACTTTGCACAGCATTTATAAAATTTTAATTATTAACATGGAGATAATACTGAAGGACAGCAAATTGAAGCCATTGAAAATAATGGTATTGCTGAAGTTAGAACGACTGCTTTTTTTCTCCTTCTGTTCAAAGCAATTATCTAAAATTATCTAGTTAGAGAATTATTTACTTGTGTGAGAACTAGCCATAGATTGCTTAAAGACCCAGAACTGGTTAGTTCTGTGAGCCAGTTAAGAAAGTACTTCGCCTGCAAATGAGCAGACAATTTATCCAATTGGGACAACTTATTAAACTGACAGCGTTTTGGCCGTAAAAGAAAAGACTTATTTGAATTCAAATGATGACATTATCTTAATTAAAATAGTTAGCACCCTTATTATCTGTGTGATACTTCAGGTTATGAGTATTCACATGACTTAAGCTTAACAGACCACACTTTTTTCCATGTGCATTGTTTCTTTCTATTCATGTCAACAGGGAACAGCTTTTTTTCAGAGCCTGGCGTGCACAAGCATGTACAGGTTTTATACACATAATTAGACATGTAATTTGTATTCAGGCAGGTATCTTTACAATTTCATTAGTTGCACAGAATATCTGAAAACATGTACAGTACTAATGCTTAAGGTATTATATATTTTGTTTCTTGACAAAACCAAGCCTTCATTGTCAATGAAATCCTCACCAATGATTTTTCTTCCTAGTATAGGCTCTTGGAAAAATACATCATTATTTGTTCCTTATTAGCACTTTTTCTAGCTGTTGTACGAGGACCAAGGAATTTCTTTCCTCCTTAAAGCAACTGACTCAAGACAATGCCTGAAGCAAGACAAAGACAATATACTGAGTTGATTAAAAAATCTACCTCTAAGGAACTACTCGTTCCAGACAAAGCTAACACATTTTCCTCAAAACGCTGCTGGTATCTGCAAATACTGAAAATACTGCAGGAAAAGGACAAGTTTTGTTCTGAGCCTCAATTCAAATCTAGCCTAAACTTGAACCATCTGGGCTACAGTTGGCCTTGTAAAAAGAGTCTGCAACAGGTATGGGGTAGATAAAATTAGAACCCAGAACTCTCTTCTGAGAGGCCTAAAATATTATGGTTATCATTATGTAAGAACATGCTTTAAGCTCATGGAAAGACTAAGTCTGCAAAGTAAAAGGTTTTTAAAAAGTAAATGTAAATAGTTGCTTAAAAAAACCCCATAAAACATAATTGTAAATTACAGTAACAAACTTGCACTTGGTATTTGCTAACAGCATGTGCATGGATAGTTACTTTGTACTTTGTAATGGCTCAGCTGATGTAAGACAACTTTTTAGGACTTACTACCATTATACCATCATGCCTTTCTCTACAGCCCTCAGCTTTGTCAAGATACAACCAAGTTTATTCTGTAATTATTTTTGGAAAGGGTTTAATCAAATAAACCAGTTATGAAGAATTAATCTGTTTATTTTACTGGAACAATTTGCATGAGGATGTGCTCTGTTGTTCCAGATACAGAAAATTACAGTAATTGGATGCCCCACTCTTGTAAAAATCTGGCCTTGAGGCAGACAATTAAAATGGGAGTTGCACTCTCCCTTTGTTGTTTGTGGTTTGTTTTTTTTTGTTTTTTTTTTTTTTTTTTTCAAATACAGGCTCTTGTGCTTAGTGCTGAGCCCTCAAGAATTTGCCCATTCAGGTGAAATGACCTTTTGTAGGAGATTAAAGATCTTAGGAGGCATATAAAACCTGCTGTTGTCTTGTTGGAAACTAAGACATTTCTTGTACGACCCTGTTTTCTCAAACGCTGTACATCAGTTGCTATTATTAACTTCAAATGATGCAGTGAGTGCTGACCACCCCTGCAAGTCATGCCACAAATTAGATTTTGTCAAGATTCACTGAGACTCAGAAGCAGAAAGCAAAAAGAAACACTTCTCATCAGCACTGTGTTTCCTCAACAAGTTCTTTTATAGCCACTACAGACACAACACACCTTAGAAGTGAGACCGCTAAAAAGGGTTATGTGAGTTAAGGAATCATCCGAATTCCTTACCACCTTCAAAATTTTCCTGCTTTACTGCCTATCACCTATTATTTTTGCCTAGCCTCATTCAAACGCCTTCTGCTGTCACAAGTACGTAACCACCCTCAGTCGTGATTGAATAGGTGAGAGTGTATCTATTACAGTACTGTGACAAGTATTTATGTGAGAAGACCAGCTGAAAGCTTTCTAAAGGAGAAGTCTAGGCTTGGTCCAGACTTGTGGTGAACTGTATGAGTTTACTTGCTTATCTAGAGGCAGTCTTAACTTCTATGTCATCATGTGATAAGGTTAGGAGATCACTAATTTTACAGAACCATATAACTTAATTTGTGTCATCTACAAAATGTGAAGGCAAGGCTGGTCTAGCATGTTGGTACTTGGAACCACTGACCGGTGCTGGGGAAAGAAATACAAAGCAAATTGCACAAAATATTTTGAACACTTGAAGTAGGCAGGTATGTCAACTCATCTGAAATCCAGACTGTAACAAACCTCAAGTTAGGTCACATCGTGACGGTGACTGCTTAGCAGACCAGATGAGCTCATGCCAGAGCAGAGAACACATAAGAAACAAGTGGTGTGACAAACGAATAACTATACAGCCCACAAGAATTGGTCTTGACAGACATGAAATATAGTATTTAATAAGTTAATACTGTGTTTTCATAAATATACATCTGTTTCTCCCTAGGGAGCATGAGCAAGAAATTACCTGGAGTTGAGCAATATGAAATAGTTTATCCACGGAAATTGCACACAGTACATAAAAGAGATGCAGAAACAAACAAAGAGGTATTAAAAGAGATAACATTTTTTTTTTCTGGGAGATGGGGAAAGTTATCTGGAATCAGAATAGCCTTGGTTTTCAAGGGTAAGAGACTTTGGAGCCAGACACTTGATCTTGCAAAATGAAATGAAAAAGAAAACCTGGTAGAGCGATCCCATGTGTAATAAAGACGGGCTGTGAGGTGGGCTCAGTGTGCAGAGCAGTACCTGTCTGCCATCGGTGGGTCTTTTGTACCTGTATCTCTGCAGGGATGTGGGTTTTGATACTACTTGGATTTTGAATGACCTATGGACATTTTAATTTGAAGTAAATTAAATAAAATGCTTTAAATTAAGCATGTTTCTACATACTTTAAAAGTTATGAAAATATTTGAATTTAATCATCCACTTCAGCACTTTCCTGAATATGCATGGTATGTGGTTATGATTGTATAAATACTTCTGCAAAGTTAAATTTGTTTCTCTAATTAAAAAATATGAAACAGAGTGATCTGCTGCTTATTCTCTAACTGCCAGAGTACTTATTTTTGATGGGAAGAGAAGGAAAAGAATGCAATTGGCAACTCAGTAACAGGCAGCTCATAGTGAGGCCAGAAATTGCAACGGTCCATATTCTAACACTTAAATCTCTCTACAGACAAAATACGATGACACAATGGAGTACAGAATCAAAGCCAATGGAGAGGAAGTCATACTGCACCTACAAAAAAATAAGTAGGTTCAGTTCAATTTTTCCCTTAAGCATTGTTCCTTACTGTAAGTGGCTCGGTAGGACATTCAGAATACTATGAAACAGGATTTAGGCTCCTGTAAGACAGAGGTAAATGCAACCTTGCAACTCGAATGAAAGGAATAAGAAAGCATCCTGTCACTATTTTGCTAATGTGAAATAACTACACATGCATATGACATTACTATGGTGGATTGACTTGCCTATACTGCTAACTGCTCTCCATTTATTTCCTAAATGTCTAAATCCACTGAATGTTCAATGTTTTCACGTTATTTCACAAGTTTTCTGTGTTCATGGATAGTCTCTGGGTTATATTTATTTGTTCCATGCTTGTAGAAACTACAGAGAAGAACAAGAGAAATATCCATTAAATGGGGCTGTGTTGGCTCTGTATGCTTTTCAAAAGTGGAAAATATTAGTAAGAAAGGTAATAATCCTTAATAATTTGGCTTCTAGCACTCACTACCTTAGCACTACTGCTTTTGGACTTTGAGTAGCCTAATATGTACTGGCATTCACAAAATGTTTTATGGAAATTGAAAATGAGGAGAGCTCATCTCCTTGGCTGAAGAGATTAACAGCATTTAAACAGGCCATGCAGAGGGTACAGAGAAGCAGTGGGCTTTGTTACAGGACAAAGCATACAAAGAAAAGTCCAAAACTGTGCAGAGCAACACAAAATAAAGTACAGCTGTGATTTCCTGCTTGCTGGCCCTACCATAATATTTAACATGGGATCAAACAAATCTGCTTTAATAGGTACTTTTCTAATGGCTGTGTAAACACAATAGTACTATAATCAGTACATGTTAAATATAGTCTATAATTAACTGTTTGCCCCAGTTTTAATCTAATCTAAATATTTGGAGGGGAGAAGGGAAATTATGTTGTACTAAATCTCACTCTTTAAAAAGCCATGGGACTGTGGCAGTTTGGGGTAGTTGCCCAAACTGAAATGAATGTAGACTTGTTTTGCTGATAGCTTTAGTAAGACTACACTCTGGGCTTAAAGTTAAGCACCTGCTCTGTGCTCTGCTGCACAGGAGCCTGAGCGCACAGAGCCTTGCAGCGTTTGCCCTTCCGTGGCAGATCACAAATGTGTATGCTAACAAGAAACCCAAAGGCACCTTTCCCAGAGGCGGCAGAAATACAGGAATTTATTTCATAGTCACATCGTCCTCCTCAGAAGGTTCAGGAACACGTATGTGTACAAAAACAGAGTTTTATTTAGACAAAAAAGAAAAATCAAGTTTGATTGAATGATTACAGCATGAGAACTTGCGCTAGCAAAGTTCTAAGAAAGCTGTGAGCAAAAGAATTGGACAAATCTATGTTAGTGTGATCTCCACATAGAATCTCTGACCATGTGCACATGTGTACAACATACATGTACGCACGGGCACATGGGAAACAGATGAGGCAGCTTTTCCATTGACCCAGATCTTTGCTAAATATCATCAGCGGGGATGAAATGGGAAGAGAACAGAACAGTACCATTTCCCACACGCTGTGGAGTGGTGGAAATGTCTACACAAATTGGAGGACAAAAGAGGATCAATACTGCATATGTAATTATACATTTGCTTTCAGATCTACTAGGAGATTAGTTTACACCAAATGAAATAAGTAGACTTTAATTGCTTTCTTATTTTAGAAATGTCCCTTTGTTTGAGTAAAGATTATGAACAAGCAGAATTCCCCACCCAGCAGTTTTGTTTCCCTAGATTTTCGATACTAATAATAACCTGAGTAATCATTTGAATTCCCCACATAATTTGCATGTTATGCAATTGCCTCATTTCTAGATGACTACTATTTGTTTTGAATAATAATTGCACTTGACTCTTTGCAGGCATCTGCTAGCTAGAGACTATACTGAAACAGTTTATTCTGATGACGGTCAACAAATAACAACAAGTCCTCAAATCAAGGTAATAAAAAAAGGTTTTCTTCCCCCATACTTGCAGTCTTGAGCAGGTCTGTGTGAGATTCATAGGTCTATGAAATAATAGCATATATCAGATAGAGAGAAAAGATTTTAAATCAAGGTTCTAAGCACTGTACTTTAGAATGCCTCTGAAGGGATAGGGAAGATGTGACTGGTAACTTTGGCAGAGCTACACTGACGTGCACCCACTGACAATTAGACACACAGTTTGTCTTTTGAAAAGACGACCACTCTTCACCTGAGTGGCTGGTGAAGACATTACCTGAGCTGAATTTCTCACTTCAGTCAGGAAAGGGAGCAGAGCCAGGGCAATTCCACTGCTTTCTACCTCCCGACTTTGCCCTCCTGACTTTGCTCATGCTGCGCAATTCCATGACTTGCTCTTCCACCCTAATCGCAGTGAGATCATAGATTCTGATAAAGACACATTTCCTCACTGGCTCACATTACCACCCACGCTCACAGCAAATGCACTGCAGGTTCTGCCAGGTGGTTTCTCTGAGCCATGACGAATCAGTTATTCAGATCCAGACACAGAGGAAGTCACTATAGAAGTGGGTTTTTTTTTTAATTAGCTGTGCACCAGTGGGTCTTATCCTCAACAGAGCTTTCACCTGAAGCTTTTTGTCCAATGTCATGCTATGAGTTTTAACACATGTAATTTGGAATACAAAGCCTAATATTCTTTGTCATGGAGCAATTAGCAGGAACAGGAAGATCTTGAGTGAAATAAATGTGCATAAAGAATTCAGAGTTGTTTTTCTTTGTGGAAAAAGATGCCATTTCTGATTGCTCCAGTTACTTTCGCTCCCTGTGTGGATCCTGTGAAAAGCAAATAGCACCTACGACTAGTTAAAGACAATCTCAAACAGGCCTACCTGTGCAGCTTGCTGAGTAAGGAATTCCTACATTGTGGATAGTTTGTTATGATCTCAGGAGTTGTTTCTCTTCCATCCTCAAAAGATGGAGACTAATTTTCCACTCTATTCTCTAGTTATTTTCACTCTAATAAAGTTAGCACGTTGTGATGGAAGCAAGACAAATAAATGGTAAAGTGAAACCAAACGTCTCTGAGCAAACCAAAGGCACGGTCCATGCAGGTTTGAATACTACCCAGCAGACTGTGTTATAGGTCTCTCTTAAGAAATCTCTTAAGGTAAATGCTATGGGTAAAATTTTCCACAATACCTCAGTGACTTTGAAGTCTCTTTGAACGCAGAAGTGTTCATTAGACCTTAGATCCTTAAGTCAATTAAGTCATGAAAATTTTTCCCCTAATCATACGTTTTAATATAACACATACATTTTAATCTCATTGAAGTTAATGCATTTAATTGTTGGGTTAATATTAAAGGGTGTTTCCTTGAAATTTGGCCACAATAAAATAATTCGTTATGGACCTTAATTCAGCAGAGCACATCAGTATATGCTTAATTTTGAGCACTGAGTATGCATATTCCTGTTTTCATGTACTGTTATGTACCAACCAGAACCCACCATGGTTGGATTTGTCACAATCTGGGTCACTGTGTTGAAGGATAACAGTAACAGTACCATAGCAAACATGGAAACAGTCACCAGCTTTTTTCGTGTTAAGAATCCCCTCTAACAGGACACTTCCTCAGCCAGCATAGTTTGTGGCAGCTTGTAGCTAGTGCAGTTTGTCTTCTGAAATCACTGGACCTAGGCCAATTCACTGCAGTCAATAAGACATGGCCTGATTTGACAATGTATTTTTCTTTCCAAACAGGATCACTGTTATTATGAAGGCTACATTCAGAATGATGTTGATTCCATGGCAAGCATCAGTGCTTGCAAAGGTCTAAGGTAAGGTGGAGGTTTGGTTCCCAAAGGGTACCAATGGCAGAATATGCATACTCTATGAGGATAAATTTTCCAATATAAAAATAATCAGGATGTAAATAAGTGGTGTTATCTTTTATTCATGCTTACAAGGAAACTAGTTTACCAATAAAAGGGGAAAAGGAGAAATAAAGTTACCTTTCTACTTCAGTTTCAGAGTTTACAGATTGGAATCTAAAGAAACATCTATATCAATAAATTTCTATGACTAATTCCATATTAGATCCAGTCATAAATCATAGCATTTGACAGTGCTTACAGTAAACGCTTAGGGTGGATGCTTCTAAGCTGTAGGAAGCTCCACTGACACTTCAAGAGAGGGTTAAGTTATTTTCAGTGCTACAGGAGTTACAGGGTCGGGAAGCTGAAGCTTTTGAATAAAAAGCTCAGTTAAAAGAATTGGCTTGTTTCTAATCACTGAATACACAGTGGTATAAGATAAGAAGGCAAGAGGATGGCTCTTGAGTCTGAGAAACTGTAGCAGAACATTTTCCCAATGGTTAGTGGAGTTTCGCCAAAACCCAGACTGTCTTTGTGAACACTTTTTGCATATCTTGTTGAGTTCACTTGTTAACACTGAACAATTACTTCGACATTTACTGCTCAAAATGATTCAAAACTCTTAATTCCCTTCAATATTTTAGCTTTTCATCTCAATTAAAGTTTAAAACATATCGTTGAATTCCCCACTGAACTGAAATTCACTTTTGAATCACCTCTGTTAGCACAAATCCATGAAATTTAAATCTAATTCACTCCTAAACCAGTTTCTTTTTGACGGACAGTCTCCTACTCTCAGTCAGTGACTTCACTGATTAGCCAAATCTTCTAATTGACTCAGCAGCTTTGATTTCTGCTTTTAAATTGTTGTGCACTCTGCCTGCATGATGCTAAACTATTCCATTGCATCAGTGTGTGCAATGGTCTGTACGCTTGGGCTAAATGCTGTTGGAGATGATGTTGTTATCTTGACTCAGTTCTGTGGATTCAAAAGTTCACAGTCTAACTAATTTTCTTAGTGGATATTTTGAGACCCGTGGTCAGAAGTACCTCATTGAACCCTTGGGAACTTCAGACAGAGATGAACATGCAGTCTATAAGTATGAGAAACTCAAACAAAAGTCCATAAAAACCTGTGGACTAATCAATAACACCTGGGAAGAGGATTCAAATGACCCCATCAATGACATCTTCAAATCCAGCAACAGCCCAGAAGTAAGTACATAGTTAAGTAACGGTCCAGTAAGTAGTACATGTCAGAAATGAAATTGCAGCCTTTGATTAGCACAAGTCCTACTTTGTCTGGTGGCACCCCCAGAAAAGAATTGATCGCAAACAGTGAAACATAATTAGACCTTAAAGAACTAGTGCAAAATCTCACAGATCTGAGATTTCAGAATCAGTACCTGAGTTAAGCCCTCCTGCACGTACCAATGTGCATCTTTAAACATCTAAATACTTCTTAATATCTAGCCTACCTTTCATCATTTTAAAACAAGGCAGTCTCATTCTAAATGACTCGACTAAAGAAATACCATTGTAACTAATACATGAGTATGAAATTGCAAAAGTTTAGACTGAAACAGAACTTAAAAGTTATTTAAATGTATTTTTTTTCTTTAGATGAAAGCATATCTGAAAGCAAAAAAGTATCTGGAAGTTTACATAGTCGCAGACAATACTTTGGTGAGTATTGAAACAATTTTTTCTCATTTAACCAGATAGGGGTGAGCTTTCCAAAGTACTACTCTTATCCCTGGCCTCCTACTACAATTACAGAGCTACAGTATGTTTTACCACTGACTTTGGCTAGGAATAGGATTTCCTAATGTCGACTGATTTAGAAAATCTCAGTTGGAGATGATGAGAATTCAGAAAACACCGTACAGTGTCTGTCCTCTTCTGCACCCTAAACATAGATACACATTTGAAAAGGGCCAGACCTTGAAACACATTGTCTGATAAAATAGTACATCAAAAAGTCAATAATAAGTAGACTAGGCATGGTGTGGTTTGCAATGCAATCTTCCATGGTATATTTATTTTCTGACAAATCACTTCTTTCCCTCTCCTTTTCCTAACATACTATATTCACTTCTTTAGTATAAGAAGTATGAAGAAGATGTTAAAACTGTAAGACAAAGGATATTTGGAATAGTCAATTATATCAACAAGGTAAGAGCAAACACAGCAAAATGAAATTGAAATAGAAGTGATTTATAAGTTTTTTCTTTTGCAAACTTCATGAATTGTCATTATTACATCTAGGAAAGAATGAAAACTGAACCTCATTGTAATTTTTGAAACAAATTTAACACATCTGTTCATATTATCATGTTCTTTGCCTTGAGATATGAGATTTCTGTAAAGGAAGATTTTTACTGTATGTTCTTAACACTTGTTAACATGGATGGAAATTGTTCAAAAAGAATGAAGTGATTCTCAATTCGTGATTTCTTTTGCAAGTAAAATTTCTTCTACAATATTGCTGGAATAGTCAAGTATTTAAAAGCCATTTTTATAATTGTTTTAAATGCGGAGGAAAATAACACTTCATGTTTTGTTTGTTGTTTTGTTGCAACTTCAAAGTACAGAAAAGCTTAAATTTGGACTGGAGTAGACTACATTGCAAATGACAAAAGTGAACCAATTACCAGGACAATTGCTTGTTTCAGAAGTCTTGGTAACTACTTCATTTTTACAGCAACACTGTTTCTCTGCTGCAGGTTTATAAGGCCATAAATATCTACGTGGCTTTAGTTGGCCTAGAGATCTGGACGGATGGTGATAAATGCCTTCTGAGTCCCGCTGCAGGATTTACTCTGGACAGTTTCTCAAAGTGGCGTCTATCAGATTTATTAAAGAGGAAAAGAAACGACAATGCTCAGCTAATCACGTATGTATCATTTTGTTTCCTATTTTCATTTCCAAATACATTCAAGGGATTCGTTCTTTACAAACTGGTCACCAACCAGTCAGAGACACTGTCTATACTGAACTGGATTTCATGCTTTCCAATACTGGGTTGTACTGATTCTAGGATAGAGACATAAATGCAGGCTCTCTTCTCTTGCTTTTATTTCTTCATGGAGTGGAATTATCTGCTAGGACACAGTATCTAATCTTTCTATCTGAATCCCTGCAAAAACAGGCAATGTAACCTTCTGATACCTCTCAGCCTCTCCTTTGCTCTGCTTTGGTCCCGGAACAGTTGAGTGTCCTGAAGACTACTGCATGATCTAACAACCGAAGAGCCATGACATGAAGTTTAATGGCTGGGAAATGCCCGTTGCCAAACTAAACCAGCACTCACTTCACTCTTCTGGCTCCTGTTCAATGGCCCTGATTCATTCAAACACTTTGCTACATTTAGAGCACTTCATCAAGCTCTTTACACGCAAACAGATGCTTTAAGTCTGATGAACTGCAACGTAATTTAAGTAAAAATTTAAAATTAAAAGTGTATTCAATTGTTTTTTGACTTGCCATGATCTTTAGCATGGCCTCAAATATTGTATGAAATCAAGGGTGCAAACCAGAGCTGGAAATGAGTACATGCTTAAAGCCTTCAGCACGGTTATTAAAGCAGATGGATTCAGATCTGCCTCCTGGTCACACCACTGCATTTTACTGTGCCTTTCTTCTCCCTTACAGAGGCTATGACTTCGAGGGGACAACGATTGGATTAGCCTTTCTAAAAGCCATATGCAGTGATACACATTCTGCAGGTATTATTCAGGTCTGATTTATTTTATTTTTTAAAGGCTTTTCTATGTTTTTTACTCAACCAGCAAAGAATGTTTATGAAAATTTTTGGGTGTACCACACTTTCAGTTCTCTGTCTGGTTCATATAATTATTTTATTAGACTAGAAATTCACAGTCAGAGATTTTATTTTAAATGAAGTGCAGAGTGTAAAGAAGGCAGACACAAAGCGTGGTATCTGTGTTAGCTAAATGCCAACATCAAACTGACAGCTGTATTTGGAGTACCAGGCCCCAACAGAGTCAAAGGAGAGAAATCAGTGATTTTATGCCTCTATCTTAAGGTTCCCCATTTTGAACAGGGAATTGGTTCTGAGTGCCGTAATGTATATCGTCAGTTTAGCCACTTAATTATAGCTGCCTAAACTACTGTACTTAAACTTCAGCCTAAACAGGAACACAGATCCAAAGCTTTACCGAAAACATCGTGAATTCAACAGCTGCACCCAGCTTCAGAGGCTGGGCTTGTTGGTAAGAGGAATAAATTCCAGCTTTCCCACACCGTAGGGAAATCCTAGGACGACTGTAGATCCAGAGTGCTTTTTGAGGTGGGGGGATGTATTTTGTAACAGCGTGATTTGCAATGCCATGCTGGAAGAATATGACCAGTAGACCGTGTCTCATGCTTTATGAGTTTCCATTACTACCCACTATTTCTACACCTGGATTTCACTCTGAAGAGCAGGATTTCTCCTTTCCTCCCTCCCACCAAGCAACACAAACCACCAGGCTAAGAGCAAAGATGGGAGCACAGCATCTGCCTTTCCTTTTGCACGCACAACGCTGTACACAATAGTTACTTTGGTGTAATGAGTAATAATTATATTGCACCCACGTAATTACCCTAAGCACAGAGACAGCTATCCAGAGAGAGGATTAAGAGTTTCAGATGTTCAGTTCCCCTTAACATTCGGTTGTTACTTGGCAGCCTAACTTCATGTTTATTTAAAAACTAATTATAGCAATTTACTCATGTTCGTTAGTGGTATTATCTCATTGCTATTATAATATAAGCCAGTATAAACTTTGGAATATATGCATGGATGGATTGAACAACATATTAATCCTTAGGTAGCAGTGAGGATAATTTCACTAGAAGAAAAATGGTCCTAGTTCTTAGCCACATGGCCTCTCTGCTGTTCCTACTTGTTCTAAAATACTCGTAGAAATAATAGCCTGCTCTCATCTCTACAGGATCATAACAGAAACGAAATTGCAGTTGCAGCTACCATGGCACATGAGATGGGACACAACCTTGGCATGAGTCATGACACCAAAGCCTGCACGTGTAATGCTGAAGTTTGTATCATGACAGATACTGTCAGGTAGGAGTTTGGATAAAAAAGGCAAGGGCATTAATGCATGGGGCAGTTAAAGATGGTCTTTGAATATGCTGTCAGGGTCCAAAATGGAGTAGAAATTATTTGTGTTCTCTGAGATAATTCCATTCAAATTAAACAAAAAGAAGAGAAAAATGAAGAAATTCCAGGCACCTGTAAGATATTCCCAGACAGATACACACACCCCCCAGAGCATCACACCCCCCAAAAATCATCCCAAACCAACACAAACAAAAACCTTATTCACTTTTGGACATTAGCTTTGCATGTGTGGTGGTGGCCTTCACATTAAACCATCAATAGTTTCTTCCTTACAATGACGACAATATGTAACTGGTGTGGTATCTCAGATGAAAGAGCTTCCCCAAGATTTACATAAAGTATAGTTTTGTTTTCTACCCTGAAAATGTCTCCTGTGAAAACTACACAAAGTGCTTGCACCTTCCAGAAACACCCATTAGAGAGGAATTTAGTTCAATTTTCATCTCTAGTTGAACACCCTGAGCCTCTGCCGAACAACCCAATGGAAAACTCCTAATGCCTGAATAGTGTAGACCAGGCTTAAAACTTTGGGATGAGGGATTTATTATATACAGTGTTTACATTTAGTACATTTTTTTTTTCTGATGTTTGTTTCCACTTTTTTTTTTTTTTTTTTTGATCTGCTATAGACAGGAGATAGCCATTGTATTTATTAATATACGTATTTGGAAAAATGGTTGCAAACAATAGTTCGGGGGATGGTCACTTGTTTAATTTCTCTTGTGAAGGGTGTTGCTTCTCCTTGCCTATACTCACCCTGATGTAAATCCTCCTGTTTTCTCAATATAGTTCTATCATCCCCAAGAAATTCAGCTCTTGCAGCCTCCAAAGTTTTGAGAAATACATGTTGAGTGACATGCCAAAATGCTTAACAAACATCCCAGATATAAGTAGCATCATAGCACCTCCAACCTGTGGAAATGGCTTTGTGGAAAAAGGAGAGGAATGCGACTGTGGTACTCCTGAGGTATCTGCATAACCGGGAATAAAATAATACTTGGAAGAAGCAAAGAGTTTTATTCGGGCTTTACAGTAGCTGGTTTCTGTTAGTGTCTGAGGTGGCCAGTTCAAAGCTAGCTGAAATATCTCTGTAGAAACTGTGGTCATCAAATTGCTGATCTGCAATGTAGACACCCCTATAAAGTGCATGCGAGATGGTGGGAGAGACGACTGCATGGTTTGTCATGCTGTGCTGACAGAGGAACTGAAAATGGGGAAAAGCCACGCATGAAAAACCATCCCAGCAGAAATAAGCAAGTTCCCTGCACAACTTCTGTCAGTGCTTTTGCAAACAAACGCACTTTGTATTCTTTATGCGCTCACTCACAATGGCTGGCATGGCTTCTAGTGAAAATGGCTTTCAGAAAAGCGAAGTGCAGGTCCAAGACATCCTTCCCTCCCTCAGTAACCAAGTGCAGGACGGTTTGTTAAGAATGCAGTAGAGAGGGGACCGAACCCTGCAGCAGTGTACCAGAGCTCTGACGGCCGATTCTGTCACAGGAATGCACAAATGACTGCTGCGACCCCGAGACGTGCAAACTGACAGCGGGTTCCACATGTGCACACGGAGAGTGCTGTGAAAACTGCCAAGTAAGGCTCCTCTTAATCTCTAGCTTCTCAGATTTTCTGGGGTATATATTGTTTTTCCTTTGAGAAACCAGTAATACACTTTTCAAAAGGACCAAGCCTCTTTACTTGTAATTACCGACGCAGCACTGTCATGACAAGTGCGCTTTGTCCATCCCAAACCACACCACAACTATCAATTCACTCAATCTTTCAACATCCTAGTGAAATGAGCATTTTGATTACTCATTTTCTCCTGGAAAGAAAAGCTGGGGCACAACCAGGCAAAAATCTTGTCAACTGACAAAATCTACTTTAAATTAAGTACAGATCTGGCCTCTCCTGCAACTTATACAGTGAGGATGGGATTAGCCTCCCCTACCTTTAGCTCTTCAGTTCAATGTGATTTTTTAAATGGCACAGAAGAGCGGTGTGTTAAGTGTGGCATTGCTTTTCCCCCACGTCAGTATAAAAAATCAGGAGCTATTTGCCGAGCAGTTAAGCATGACTGTGACCTGGCTGAGATGTGCACGGGCTTCTCTGCGAATTGCCCAGCGGATCGATTCCGTGTGAACGGACACCCCTGCAACTACGGCGAAGGCTATTGCTACATGGGAGACTGTCCCACCCGAGAAAACCAGTGCAAAGCTGCTTTTGGACCACGTGAGTACAAGTTGGCATTGAAAAGATAAGATTGCCTAGGACAAAGGAGAGAGACAGAGGTAAGCTTTGTCTGCTAACAAATCATCAAAGACCTTCTGTTAATCAGGAACAGGATATCTATATAAATGACTTCTAGTTTCTAGCATACAGTTTATAATTTTTATATTTACACTGTAAGTGATTATAATCATGTGAGCTGAAGCTCAGAGCATACAAGGAAATGCATTTATAGAGAAATGGGAAGTGGTAAATGTGTTTCTCATTTGCACAGTTCTTTTAAGATGACTTTGAAATGGAGCTGGGTGAGTATTCTTTGCTTGATAACAAGAGGAAATATATGTATTTCAAATTAATGTCCAAATTTAGTATGCCTTTATGTTTCTGAAGGTGCGTGGTGGCTCACCTTCTTCTCAGTCCTAAACCATCTCCAGACCTGGCTATGCCCCTTCTCTTCAGCAAGGTCTATTGGTTTGTACTGGAATAGAGAGAGAACACACAGGATAGGTTCTGCTGTGTGTACACAGCAATATTGCAGAATTAATGCATGAAGTGCCAGAGAGAGTCATTTAAGCCCATGGGTAACTTCACTGGGAAAGGCCATTTCCTAAACAAGTAAAGGAGAATGAATATTATTAGTTCTTAGAGGCAAAGAACCTAAACTAATCCCACCGCATTTTCCTCTTTCACAGAGGCTACTGAAGGTGCAGCTTCCTGTTACCGGATGAATGAGAAAGGGGTATATTATGGGTACTGCAAAAAAGAAAAAGGTAGTCACGTCCCATGTAAAAAAAGGTATGCACTGTGTTACAGAATTTTCTGGGATTTGGGAAGAGAGACCATTCCTGTTCAAAGACAGATACAAAGAGCGCCTTATTTTAGATGGCGCGTATGTTGATGTGTCCCTTCTTGTTCAGTTGAAATATTGTGGGAAAGTCAATTGTAAGAAAACTAGTTTCTAAATCATGAGATCAGTCTGTGAAATAGCAAGTGTGTGCACATATATGTGCAAGCCTGTTTGTGAGGATGACTGTGTGTGTGTGCATGCATGTGCAGTTAAGTACAGGGAAGGGATTTTTGCATAGGGAACTTGAACCTCAGAAGTTGAAGACAGGTCAGTTAAATTTCTGGAAGTTACTGTGGGCTCCCTAGTAAGCTGAAGAGGAATTAAGAACCTGCCAGCTTCTACTCACAAACCAACCTGAAAACATCAGAAACCAAAATTCCTTTCTGCAACTTTTTCTCCGGAGTTCCTGTACACAACAAATTCAAGCTGGAGGAAAGACCAAACAGATCGTTTTGTTGTGCCATGCTGTTGTTCTAGCAGCTCTTGTTCTCCTTCCAGAGATATAATGTGCGGAAAGTTGTTCTGTACTGGGGGGAAGGAGATGCCTCGGGATGGGAGCCTGGTGACTTTTGAGTCCTGCAAAGCAAGTTTTCCTAGAAATGGAGAAGTAGACCCAGGAATGATTCTCAATGGAACCAAGTGTGGGAATGGCATGGTTAGTAGAGAATAGCTTTTCTCATTTTTTCCCTTCTTTTGGTCTTGCTGTCTTATATCATTAGCTCTTACCAGACAAGAAAGTTTTTGAACAGGGAAGATTGAAGAGGATAGTAATCTTCTGCTGATCTGATTTGCCATACTTTCTGCCTTACACCTATCACAAATCAGTAGTAAAGCAAACAGGAACTGCTATCATCCAATTTTCTTGTGCTTGAACACTGTCTTACCATTTTTTACTGACACAAATATACGTGGCAATGGAAACACACCCTCGTATGAAGAGTTAAAAGATCATACATGTATTACTATTTTTAATTATTTCCATAATGGATGTGCCAGGCATCACCGAGTGCTATTTCTAATTTCTCTACTATATTTTTCTACTTGGCGGGGAGAGAGAAGGATGAAGGATTCAAGAGGAGTGGAAAGCAGTGATGTCCGTACACCTTTGTCACCCCTCTTTGCTATAAAATGCCTACAGGTCGAATGAAAAATTATATCCACATATCAAACTCCTAATGTAGGTTTAAGTGATTTGCAGACCTGTTCCTATGCCTCCTTTGACTCTTCATCATTTTACACAATAATGTGAAAACTCTGCATGTTCTGAAAGCAGTAAATCACTTTGTTAACATTTGCCCTGTACATTGCAGGTGTGCAGCAATGGAGAATGTGTCTATGCTGAAGATGTCTTTAGATCAGCCAACTGCTCTGCCAAGTGTACTGGACATGCTGTAAGATACAAGCATTTGATGCTATTAACTTAAAAAAAAAATGCATATCATCTACAGCCCCTATTGATGACAGTGTTTGGGACAGGAATTTGCAAAAACTGTGGAGTCAGCAGCTTCCTATATTTTTATGAAAACAAATCTAACCTGATATAGCATCTATATTTTTGCTAAAGAGATGACAGGAGATGGAGACAGATTCCTCATCTGGCCCTGTCTCTGAGACACAGTATCACAGGTCATCTTCTGTTTTGGGAAAAAAATTGTGCTCACCTTATTTGAGCATTCAGAGACCTACAGATGTAAAGACTAACTCTGCTCCTTTGTGCCTTGTACTGAAGCTTTCACCGCAGAAACACCTGCAAAAGGTTCATGATAGCAATCAGGCCTGTCCTTTACTGTACAAAACTGCTACTCTCGGTGCTAAATTTTAATCCAAGAGAAATGAGAGGGGGTTTACAGACCTAGCTTCAATAAGCTTATCACATTCAGAGCCACGGAAAATTTATGGCATCGCAGCTTCGCTCATATTTCCAACCTGAGGATATTGCTGGCTCTGTTTTGCTATTCCCGGCTTTGTTTTGCTGTTCCCTAGGTGTGCGACCACGAGTTGCAATGCCAGTGTGAAGAAGGCTGGGCACCACCAACCTGCGACAGCGCGTCAGCCGTTACCAGTAAGTGCTGTACGGCCCCTCACCGGGCACTGGCAGGTACCAGTGAGTGCTGTACGGCCCTGCACCGGGCACTGGCAGGTACCAGTCAGTGCTGTACGGCCCCGCACCGGGCACTGGCAGGTACCAGTCAGTGCTGTACGGCCCCGCACCGGGCACTGGCAGGTACCAGTCAGTGCTGTACGGCCCCGCACCGGGCACTGGCAGGTACCAGTCAGTGCTGTATGGCCCCGCACCGGGCACTGGCAGGTACCAGTGAGTGCTGTACGGCCCCGCACCGGGCACTGGCAGGTACCAGTCAGTGCTGTACGGCCCCGCACCGGGCACTGGCAGGTACCAGTGAGTGCTGTACGGCCCCGCACCGGGCACTGGCAGGTACCAGTGAGTGCTGTACGGCTCCGCACCGGGCACTGGCAGGTACCAGTGAGTGCTGTACGGCTCCGCACCGGGCACTGGCAGGTACCGGTCAGTGCTGTACGGCCCCGCACCGGGCACTGGCAGGTACCAGTGAGTGCTGTACGGCTCCGCACCGGGCACTGGCAGGTACCAGTCAGTGCTGTACGGCTCCGCACCGGGCACTGGCAGGTACCAGTCAGTGCTGTACGGCCCCGCACCGGGCACTGGCAGGTACCAGTGAGTGCTGTACGGCCCCTCACCGGGCACTGACAGGTACCAGTCAGTGCTGTACGGCCCCGCACCGGGCACTGGCATCCGCTGGCTGCTGCAGGCTGCCCGAGCTCCACTCGAACAGCCCTGACTTGCTCTGGGTCCCAGACTGTTGCAAATATTGCATATCTAGGGCTCTGATTTCTGCACATAGTTGAGTCGCTGGAGCTGGTATGAATGACTGGAGCAAGCTATTTTTCTTTCTAAGTTGACAGAAGTGATACACCCCGGAGTTTATTTCGAGTAGCAGGCTGCTGCTTCCTCCATCCAGGGATGAGCACACCGTATTAGCTCACTGTCAAATTTGAGTGGAGGCAAGCTCCCAGAGGTTTTTACTGTGAGGGAGGTGGGCAAGTTCTGTTCTTTACCACCTGCATGGAGATGGGTTTTAACTGATCTACCTCTGAGGGAAAACACTTTGTGTACAGATTTCCACGTGTTTGGGGGAAAAAAATTTTAAGCCTTTGTTATTAAATACTTTTGTCTTCTCTCCATACTCACTAGAGCACCATCATCTCTCAACATTGTGGCTTGGTTGAGGCTTCAGAATAGCTTTGCTGAAGGAAAATTATGAAGCCTTTACTTGTATACAATGCCAAAGGCCTGCACCCAGTTTTGGGTAACACCCTTTGAGAAAGAGGAGAGGAATGACAATTAAATGATCTTTGAGGATGGATGGAAAGGGCTAGGTTTGTTTAGCCCAAGGACAACTCAGGCAATAACCACAGTCTTCAAATATGGCAAAAAAGGCAGGAATACATTCCTTTCCATCACCATTTGTGGCAGGAGAAGCAGCCATAAAGCTTGAGCAATAGCGAGGACAAATAGGTCTAGACCTTGTGAAAAAAATTACTTTGCCAATGGTTGTGATGGGAAACTGCTTAGTAATAGGGGATCTTTTAAGAAATAACAACTTGTGTTCTCTCTCCCTGACAGGCTTCGCTATTGTTGCCAGTGTGCTGGTTGTCCTCGCTGTCACAGCAATTGCAGCAGTGTTACTTGTCCACTTCCGAGTATTCAAGAAGAGGTAAAATGCTTACCCCCATTGAGGAAAAAAACACTAAAGCCGAGAAATTACTGGATAGATTTTCAAAGAGGGTGGAGGGAATTAGACTCTGGAAAGCCAAGGAAGTTGGTCCATGACCTTTGTTGAGCTGTTTCAGAAAACCCATAGTTGGAAGAGGACTGAAGACTTGAAACTCTAGCTTTCAAGATTAATTCTAAATAATTAAAATAAGGGGGAGAAATAAAGAAATAGAGAAAGGACATGGCTATGTAACACATCAATAAGAGTAAAGCAGGCATTCAACTTCAGCAAGTTTTTTTTTTTTACTTCAGTCAGGGTAAGATTTACAGTTTTATGTAATATTTGCATAGCAGCCAGACCAGAAGGGGACCTGGAGCCACAAACCAAATCTTTGTGGATCAAGAACAAAGACGCAGAGAATACCCTATCCTAGCAGCACCAGCCCAGAAGGTAAGAGCAGGGAGGTGCTGGGACAGCTGTAGTCTCCCTGGGACTGTAACCAAGGGGTGGAAACATCAGTACTCATCAGCCAGAGTACTACACTTCCCTGAGAGTTTCCAAACACTTATCTGGGGCTGAGAGGACAGTGCTGCAAATCCGGGCATGGGGAGGAAGTGGGGAAAGCACATGGTAATAACCCTCTGAGTAATCTGTCTGCAGTAAAGGGGCATACAAATATAATGCACAGAAAAGCTCTGATTTAACCGTTTCCTGTTTTCAGATGAATGATAAGAAACTTCTCCTCCCTGTACCTCCACTGCAGGAGAACAAACCACAGCTCCAGAGCGTAAGTACTTCTAGGGAATTTCTTTGCTTTTATGTTGGCTTTGGGGAAGAGAACACAGACCAGTTCATGCCATGGTGGAGACCCGCAATGACAATCTGATCCCAGGGCTGGGGAATTCACTGCGCTCCGGATGAGGCCCTGTGTGCTTTCTCAGGACCAGATAGCATAAAGCATCCCTGCTTCTGAACTGAATGCATCCTTTCACTCCTATTAATGCACTTTATATACAGAACACAAGCCTGTATGTTCCTACAGGAACATATAGTATATAGGGTCGATATGTTTTATATTCTCTTATTTTACAGCCAGCCTTAAAGCCAAAAGGTCCCCCACCTCCTATTCCTTCTACCAAACCAACCTCTTCGCACACAGGAGTGATTTTTGTAAGTACAACCCTGCAACTTTTCACATCTTACATGAGTTGCAAATGACTATCAGATGCCAATCGGTATTTTCAGTTTCTGATGATGAATAAAAAAAAAAAAAAATCACAGAGATTCAAAGCACATATTATTTAAGGTAGGAGTCACCTTTTTTGCCACGTAATCCTAAACAGCACAAGATACTCTTAATCTGTGCCAAGGAGTCCTGTAAACCATCACAAGCACATCTCACTGGCAATAGTACATGGAGTCCAAACCAACAGGGATTTCAGGTGTAAACACAAAGCAAACAATGAGCTACTACAGATGTCTGCAACAATGGAGATGTGGTAGTCTCTGAAGATGCCACCTGTGAGGTGATGTTCATTAATGTGCATGCATATATATATATATTTTTTTTGAATTCTTAAAAAAAAATTTGGGAACCAGCCATTAATAAACCCAATGCGCCCTACATAAACGAAAATGCCTCCCTCAAATATTTACCCTCTCGGCATTTAAACCCCCTGCCCACCTGATACAAGGGTGTAGAAATCATCTTCACACTAGCAACATAATTACGTGGTACTGCCTTCATAAAGCATGATGGATCAGGACTAAATAAAAAAAAAAAATAACACCCCCCCCCCCCCCCATATCAACTTGATTATAAAACCACATTTAAATCCTCCTCCTGTCTTTAGGAATGCTTTTCTCAACATGCACCTTGAGCATGTGATCACCTTTAGCTTCCTAAACAGTCTATTTGAGCATGGATATTTGATACAGATGAATTTAATCATTGAGAATAGCTCAGCGGTCTTTTGAAACAGGAGATCTATACCCCTTGTGTATTTGTATTATTGTGCTTTCTTCTATGTGGGCAGATTAATCTAACTCACCCCGAGCATTTCTGCTAGAAAAATGCTGTAGTAAATACATGAGATAAGAGGAGCAGCAGCTGAGATCCGTGGAGGTTCTGCAGCTGCTCAGACAGGAAAGCCTAATGACGTTTAAACTACATTTTTGTCCTAGGCACCAGAGAGAAAGCCCGCTCATCTCCCAGTTCCCAAAGGCAAACCTCCACCTCCACCAAAGGTAACTTGAGTTCAAATGTGAATAGCAACTCTCCTGGGATGTAATTTGTTGAAACTGCATTTGCTTAACTTTCTTTTTCGTGCAGGCTTTAAAACCTCCAGTTAATCCCAGAGTGTGAAGCTTCTGAAGTAGGGCTGATCGAGACACCTGAAATTTTCAGGGACAATTTGTTTGTCCCTTGATTCCTCCACTTTTGTCAAAGGCAACCAAAATAGTCTTCCTGTTCTCTTTAAAAAAAGAACAACTGACAGCTGCTTTGAAAGAAAAATCTGGTTTTCAAACAGCAAGGAACTCTTCGGCGATGACATCAATCTACTGTCCAAAAGGAAACAAAGCAGAATCGCTACTTGCACTGAGGTGTAGACTGGGAGTAAGTTTTGAAAGCTGCTTAACACATCCTGACTGCTAGGCCACCACCACAAAATGTGGCTGCACTGAGAAGCCCTGCACCTACCCTGCTTTTCTGGGTACAGACCTGAGAAGATCAGGGAAAGTATGGCTACTACAGGTTTGTAAATTGTAAACTTTTTGTTACATTTCTGGATCTTTGCCAGCCCTCTCCATCAACAGACCAGACCTTCTCCTTCATGTGCAAGTTCCAAGTTCTGCAAAAAGAAAAAATCCTTCCAGCCCTTTGGAGAAAAGTTTGTGTTCTCAAGGCCTGAACTAGCCTTGGAATAATAAGATGACACACTAGAAACGCATTGATTCTGGAAGGATCCTTTTGGATCAGATTCTCTCAGTAATGCTTAGATTACCTGTTAAAAAAGATTTCTTTTGAGTAGGTAGAACTGAAGATACGCTCAAAAGCAATGCATGCAGAAGTCAAACCACTTGCTGCTTGCAAGTGCTCCCAGAGCTCAGGCTGTGCCAGTTTAAAAAGAGCTCCAGCTGCCACCACTGCACTTAGAAAAGTTTAGAAAAGCACAGTCAACAAAATCCTTAATCATTTATTTCATTTGCCCCTCAGCTCCAGAAATATCCGAGTATTTCTCCCTTCCAGGATATACATGCCTTGGTGTTTTTGTTTAATTGCTCTTGCACCGGGGTGTGTTATTGTAAAGTTGCTAATGAGAACTAGGCTGGGCCCAGGGGTTTGTTATTGTGGGACAGCATCACAGCATGAGGCTCTGCACACCAGTTTATTACTGAGGGGTTCTTCATTCGTTCTGGCCTGTTGGCATCAGTGTTGTTGACTCTATTGGCCTGCTGGCATAGATCTTCATGATACTGTTGGCATTGATGTTAATAATACTGTGAGAGTGCTGGCACTGATGCTATTGTTACCGTTGGCACTGATATTATTCATGTGGTTGGCATCAATATTATTAAGTTTAAGCTCACAGAAGTGTTTTTCAAGGAACAAAAAAAAAAAAAAAAAAAAAAGAGAGAAAGAAACAAAGTTGTTCTGGACCCAAAGTACTCAAGATTTTATAGAGGTTCCAGTTTGAACTGGATTTGGGTTTGGATCAGGATCAACATCGGAACACAGATTCAAATTGATTACGCGGTGGCTGAGGAAGGCAGTTTCCAGCCCTTGGGCATAGTGGCTTTGCTAGGGAAGACCACATGGCTGCCAAACTCCCAAAACAAGATCTGGGGCCAGCATTGTGCACACTAACCTTCACCTGCACTTGGTTCTGACTGGGGCCTATTAGGACTTTTAAAAAAGCCCGATCTTCAGGGGGCCCGAAGCCTTCTACTCAAGTTTGTGAACCAGCTCATTCCTGCTGAAATCCTGATCCACGCAATCCTCTTCGGATATGGAACACGTCTCCAAAGTACAGTCACTTTTCAGATGCAAAGCCTCATTATTTACAGTGACCGTTACTGCAGCTGCACGCTGCAGATCCATCGTCTCTGATACAGAAATGCAGATAAAAAAACAATTCTTCTTTTGGGCTAGGCTTGATTTGATGTTGCCAATCAAGTACTGTATGCTCTGCAAAACACAGATGTGGTGAAATTACAGTCTTCAGTTTGAGGAGTGAGGTGGGGGTTTTGTTTTAGGGTAGATTTTAATGGAAGAGCATAGCTTTCTTCCACTTTGGATAACTGCTTATTTGAGTCAGAAATGGATTTTAATCTATCTGTATTTGACTATGGTGTAAAGATTCGGAACTTATTTTTTATTAACTGTAATTATTGTATTTACAAAGATTTCTGTGTTAGAAGTATTCTATCTAAACTGGAGGTAGTTGTTTTGTTTTTAAAAGATCATCATTTGCACATGACACACATAACAATAACATAAAGTGGGATCATTTATAACATTGCCAAATCCCTAAAACTCCCAATTTGGACTAAAAAGATAATGCACAGGTATTGCCAAACCCTGACAAGTTATCCAGTAAAGCTGAGTTAAATTTATAATAAGGGTTGACAAGATACTATAATTTTTCTGGCACCTTAAAATCATGGTTTCCATTCATGGTTTCCAACCTTTTCCACTTTGTGAGCATTCAAGAATTTTCCACGGATATAGAGATTTGAAGCAAGCTGAAGTCTAGAGACTTGTTTTTTCTTAATTACCTTTCTAAGATTCAACTCCCAAACCATGGTGCCCAGGCTTGTTTTCTGCAAGAGAAAGTCAGTATTCTGACCTGTACAGGCTCAAACTTCCTCAATATCTGAACTTTCAGCAAGCAAAGCCTGCACGCCAGCGCACAAGCAGAGTGCGAGTGCTGTACTGAGATCAAGCGTCCACCTTCAGCAGTGACTTGCTGGAGAAACCGAAGAAAAATATGTGAGCACACCCCTATAGCAGTTCATGATTTACAGCTTTTCTTGGCCGCAGCTTCCATAGGACAGGTGACAGCATCTCCTGCGATGGAGCACATGTTCTGTCTTGCCAGCTGGCCTTGCACAAAAGGGCTCAGTCTGTAGGGACAATCTATTGTTCCGTTATGCAAACCTGACATCTACTGTCAAAAACCCTCTACTGCAAGAGGAAAATGAACCCAGGAAAACGGGACATCTTCAGCACTCCAACTGTGAGGAGCCTGCAGCAGGTAGCCCCAGAGGGCTAGCACTTCGTCACATGCATTTCCCTCCCTAGTCTCACACTTTTCACCAAACTGCAGTAGTTTGATCCGGGTCCGGCTGTTCCCTACTCCTGGTTCAGGGCCCCCTGCTCAGCACGATTCACCGCACACGCAGTACAGCAGAGCAGCAAGCCCACCCGCTGGCACCAGGCAGTAGGGTAGAGAAGGGATTTGGGCACAGTGCAATCACCACCTGGGAACTGGCACTGATGGAATTTGCATTTCCTGCGCAGGAGCCATGTGCCGGACCCTTGTCTTGCTCCCAGCCCAAAAGCAAAGCTGTTTACGACTGGTTTGGGGGTGATATTTTTTAGTATGAGTGAGCACTCCAGTCCTCTATCTCCCCTTACTCCATGGGAAAATGAAAATATGGTTTTTGCTGTTCAGTCTCTGAATTTACCACCCTCTTTCGCCCCTCTTTTCCCTCCCTCTGTCTGTCTCAGAGGGATGGTGCTACCAAGAGAGAGCAGACCTTTTGTTCTTTGTACAGCCAAACCAAATTTCACTGTGAACAATTTTGTGGGGTTCTTGAAAATAAGGCACACACTGCACCATCACAACAGACGAATTTCCTCAGTAGTCCCTACCTGGCCCTCTGAATTGTCCACTTTGCTGTGCAAATTCAACACTGGCCATTAGAGGGCAATGGGGCATGGAAAAGAAGTTTCTCTTGCTTGCTATCGGATGACTGCTATCACCTCAAACGAATCAATTCTGAATTTACTGCATCCTCTGACCTTGGGCCATAGATTCGGGAGACATTAACACGGACGCCAGCAGCCAGGAAGAGTGGGGAGGTTGGAGCACGTTCAGGTTTTCAGACACAGAGGCACCAGACAACTAATAAATAGGCTAAACCCAACCCTTCAAACATGACACTGTAGACAGTACATGCTTTAAGCACTACACAGCAAGAGGCAGTCCTAATTGATTCAGGTTTTACTGACCAGAAAACAAAATGTTGTCCTACCAGCCCTTATCAAAATGAATAATAAATGCCACCTGTAACTTCAAATTAAAAATTTTCTTCCCCTTTTGCTTCCTTCTGCCAGTAGATCTTTCACAGAATCATAGCACTGCATAAATCATTACCAGCTTAACAAGCAAGTGAACAAAAGGCTGCAGGTTGAATCCACTGTTGTGCAAATCAGTAAAAACTCATGTCAATATTGAAGATTTCCTAGCTGACAGACCTTAAGAATTCAGACCTTGCTGTATGTCTACCACCCAACTGGGCCTAATGGCTCTCCAGTGCTATGAAACAAATGGTTCTTACTGTGACAGCCGTTGCCATTGGCTGATAATATCAGTAAATGTGAACCTCAGCCATCAGCCACTTACTGTTATTTACCAGTGGCTGAGGAGTGCCAGTCTTTAATCATCAGTTTATTGATAAATTCCCAGGTATGGCATTGCTGGATGCTTCTAATCCTCCTCTGGTGGCGATGAAACGGGAGGCCCTGGGAAAGGAGCAGGGGTGGCTGTCAGGTTGCCAGCAACTGCCCTGGCCCCTGGATCACTTCAAAGCAATCTTCAGAAAAGTGGCACAGATATTAGCAGGCTGTTACTGACATTAGATCCATAAATAATTCCACATAATGCACAGCCCTGGCCTTTAGAAGGTCTAGGGGAAAAAAAGTAGAGGCTAAAATATTGATAGATGTGTCTGCAAGAGCTATTAAAAAAGTGAAAGCAGTCTCCATGGGATTGGTCTAAGCCACGGCACCCAGGACTAGAGGGAACCCTTGGTCACACGCCTGACAAAATATATCTGAGTGCATGGCACCAAGTAACAGGCTAAATGAAAAGAATAACACAACTTCAGCAGGACTTCAGAAATGGAGGCATCCCCTCTCCCTTCAGCAGTCAAAAACCACCATGAAAGGTTGGAGATCTTTTCTAGCAAGCCTCAGTACAGGTGAGGACCGAGCTCAGGTGTGCTTATTCTGTCCTGCAGATACAGAAAAGATCGCTCTCTTACATCTGTTCATGCCTGGAGAGAGAAATGAGCTGTTCTCTGCCATACACTGAATCTATTTTTTCATGTCCTTAAGTGCACTGGAGTAATGTATTTTCCATGTTACTTTTTGCAGCTAACACTGAGAGACAAGTCCCTGAATCCCATCAGTGGGTACGTACTGTTAAAGTGCTGCAGTGAATTGCCCAACATGTTTTATAAATTAGCTCATCCAAAAATCCCTGCTAACCAGCCCCATTCTGTGATGAGGCTTCATAACAGTAGAAAGCCCGTGAGATGACTTGAGGAGGAGAAAATAAAAAAAAAAAAAAAAACCAAACACCATACTGTAGCCTCTCAGTCAAGATACTGAAACAGATGAACAGCATTCACCCCCCCCAGAGATCACCTCCATGTCTTGCTGCAGGCGTCTAACTGCTATGAGTCTATCTCTCACCATTCCCTGCTTATAACACCTTTGCTCCTGACACACACACCTGAGAACAGCCAGAAAATTCCCACTGCCTAGGTGACATTTCTCATGTAGCTTTGAGCCAGATTTCAAGGCAAGAGTCCCTCTTCAATTCTCAGATGGTGCTACGGGACTGACTCCTGCAATCAAGGGTTGGCTTTTTAGAAAAGTTTAGCATCTTCCACGCACCCAGCAGGTCAAGCTCACTCACCTGGAAACTCAATTCCAGCCTTATGTTCCTTGTGTATCAGCTTTGCATGTTCAAAATAAGAGTACTGGCTCCTCTTTCCTCTCCCTGTCCGCCTCATCTCAAAACTCAGAGGCCCTCACGTGCTTCCGCTGGCTGCAGAGGGGATGCCCAACCCCATTTTTGGGCTGAGCCCACTGGGACCAGTTATCTAACCTCCACGCTGCGTGTACCTTTCTGCATCCCCACTCTTTTTTTGTGCATTTATAGTAGCCCACACAAAGGGGACTGTATTGGCCTTTTCTAGGCTATAATAGCAAGAATGACTTGCAGTAACAAGACTAAAGTGTATATTAAAAGCCTCTGATGCCACCACCTCTCAACACGTAATCTACTGATGCACAGCTCTTCTGGGATTGATCTTTGTTTGTCAGTCCCTATGCTGAAGCCCTGAAAAGGAAAACAAATAACCCTGCACAGGTCCAAGCACACCGCAGCGGCCCAGCACCCAAAAAAAGAGGAGAGGGGAAAAACAGCAGTGGGACTCTGGGCCTGACTCATCCGGCAACCACCGGATCTCCGGATAGCTGTAATTTGCTATGAATTTTTCATGCTAGAATCAGCTGTGTGCTGCAGGCACGTAGCCGAATGGAAAATAAACCTGAAATATTAATGATCCACTGCAGAGTGCAGGCAGGAAAAGATCTACAAATGAGGACAGGGAACCTCAGATAGCCGAGCGGAATCGCTCCCTTTTTGTCCCAAACACAGGTGAGTTAAAGCAAACACGCACTGTCCCAGAGGCGCTGGAAAGACCACCGCTGGATTCCAGGTTTCGGGGTGTTCAGCAGTGGATTCTGTGCCATGCAGGGAACCCGGGCTGGCTAAACCTTCCAGGCTGTCAGTGGAGGTTTTTGGCCATGTCTTGGCGTAAGTTAACACCCCATGTGCCAAAAGTAGCCTCCTTCCTGACCGTGGGTCTGAGCAGCACAAGTCAGAGGGGTGGACAAAGCCCACAGAAAAGGGGAAGGGGCTTGTCAATATATCTCGGCAGCTGTCTAGACATTATAAACCAGCAGACAGACTTCCCTCTCTCACTGATAAGACCTGACTCAAAACTCTGTAAATTTAACCAGAGTGGAAACACAAGACCTCTGTCAGAAATGAACAAGAGCTCTAATTCATCCCAACATCATGTTTTTTGTTTCCCTTGAATGATTACGTTACTAATTTCACACCTATTCCTTATTCATGTCACCATTTCCTTGCCTTAAAAGCCATCGTGCCATGGGGTTAAAGTCATTTACTTAATCACCGCCATCATTAGGAATGCTGCAATCAGAAGAATAGTGCCTTCTCATTACTTATTTAAAATGTGCCAAGCAGCACAGACATTTGTGAAATATATGCCAAATTATGCCCAATGGAAAAGGGAGGGGGACGGGACGCAGAGAGAAACGCAGTTACATCTATGCATCTTCTGAGCATCTGCCGAGTACCCCATGGCACGTAGGAGTAGCATCAAAGCTTCAATATTAGTTCAAAAAAAACTATCATGGGCCAGCAGTTGCCTCTCTACACCAGAAATAAACCTGTTAGTAAGTGTTACTCAGAATGAAAAAAAGGTGGTAATATTTGGCCTGCTGAGTTTATGCATCATGTCTTGTTCAGGAAGTCATGATATGATCTTGGGTAGAGGAAACTGTCTCA